TTTTTTTTTTTTTTAAAGCTGGTTGTCTGTCACTAGTGGGAGCTGTTGGCATCTAGTGAGGCAAATGATGATGAAGAATTGTAGGCTTTGTAAAATCGCAGGGCTAAACTGGACTTTAACCTGTCCGGTGGTGTCATGTGATGGGAAAGGTAAACCTCCTTTTCAGAAAAGATACGCCAGCCATGTCGCCCCACCTCCCCAACACGAGTTGGGGAGCTCCCGGGAGTGCTGTCGTTGGAGGAACCTGCTGACTCGGCCCCTTTTCAGCATCTCCGTGGTGATGAGGGTTTCACGTGTGCTCTCTGGGTGCCGGGCGTGCTGAGCATAGGGCCCGCGTGACCCCCTAGGAGAGCCAGTGGCAAAGAATAACTGATAGGAAGCAACGAAGACCTACACGTGTTCGCGCCCGGTTGATGTTTGCCACCCCCAGCGTATTTCTGGCCTTTGGTAGAAACACACACAGAAGTGCCAAATCGGCGGCTTGATAGCTCCCGTCTAGGGCCTACATGCAACAAGTGCCAACATTTTGCCATATTGGCCGTGTCGATTTTTTGGTGAATAGACCAAAGTAAGTAAATTTTCAAAATTATATTGCAGACGTTATGCTTCATTCTCTGGCCACTGTGGGATGAATCTCCTAAAACATAAGGACATTGTCCCTATAATCACGACCGTTATCACTCCTCAGAAAATTAACAGCCTTGTCAATAGCTATTTAGAGTCCATGTTCACATTTCTGCAGTTGTCCACAAAATTTAGAGCTGCTCTTTAAGTGAGAATCCAACTAAGGTCTGTCCGTGCATTATATTTGATTGTGTTTCTTTTGTCTAAATTTAAACCAGTTGCCTCACAATTTAAAATGGATTTTTCTTTTTTATCCCTTTTTTCCTTTTTTATTTAAAACATTTTTTTAAATGTTTATTTTTGAGAGAGACAGAGTATGAGTGGGGGGAGGGCAGAGAGAAAGGGAGACACAGAATCCGAAGCAGGCTGCAGGCTCTGAGCTGTCAGCACAGAGCCCGATGTGGGGCTTGAACTCAGGAACCACGAGATCATGACCTGAGCCACCCAGATGCCCCTCTTTTTTTTTTTTTTTTTTTTAATGTTTATTTTGAGAAGGGGGGAGGGGCAGAGAGGAAGAGAGAGAACCCCAGGCAGGCTCCACACTCAGTGTGGAGTCTGACACGGGACTCGGATCCCACAAAAAGGTGAGATCATGACATGAGCTGATGGCAAGAGTCAGATGCTTACCCACCCATGCACCTCTAAAATGGATTTTTCTGATTGTGGTGTCACTTATCTTGGTCCTTTATCTTCTGTGGTTGCTGAGAGCTGGAAGTAGGTCTAAGGACCTGAACAGTACTTTTGGCAAGAATACTTCCTAGGCCACCCTCACGTTTCAGTGTCTCTCTTGTACCACTGATGTGTCAGAAGGCAGCATGGATCTGTCACGCCAAAGCTAGTGTTTTCACAGTGGGACAGTTTTTTAGTGTTTTTGTCACTAATGTCACAGGACCATTAAGCTTTTTAGCATCTCTATAATATAAAAACAACTATGGAACTCCAAATTGTATTTAGAGAGAGCTTTCCTTTTCCAGCTACTTTGATATAGTAGTGATACTTTTCATCACTTACGGAGGTTCTGGAGTGGGACAAACTTGGGGCGTGGCTTGGTTGCTAGCTGCGTGATCTTGCACATCTCCCTCAATCTGTTTCTTGTCTGAAACTGGGGATTTAAATAGTTTCTGCTTCATAGCCTAGGATCTGGCCTAGGAAGGGCACTCCGTCAATGTTAGTGTAATCGTTAATGACGTCTAGCAGCAATTAGGGTAATAAAAACAGGTGCATCGACCCGAGCCTGCCTCCATTTTTAGGAGAACCACCCTCTGTGGCACCTTGGACTACTTGCCTCCAGAGATGATTGAAGGCCGAATGCACGACGAGAAGGTGGATCTCTGGAGCCTTGGGGTACTCTGCTATGAATTTCTAGTTGGGAAGCCTCCATTTGAGGCGAGCACATACCAAGAGACCTACAAAAGAATATCGCGGGTAAGACCTTAACGAGAACTGATCTGTTGCTTCTTGTCGAATTCTTATCAGCCTTCACCTTGGCCCTGAGCTGAATATTCATACTGTTCTGTCTTAAGCCGCGTTTTGTGACTGTCACTTGTCGTACTCCAGGTTGAATTCACATTCCCTGACTTTGTTCCGGAGGGAGCCAGGGACCTCATCTCAAGACTGTTGAAACATAATCCCAGCCAAAGACCGACTCTCAAAGAAGTACTTGAACACCCTTGGGTCACGGCAAATTCATCAAAACCATCAGGTAGCCAAAAAAGCAAAGAATCAACCGGCAAACAATCTTAAGAATCCTGCAGGGGGAGAAATCCACGAGGCCCAGCTGGCGACACTGTTGACGGCCTGGCCGTGACCCATGACCGAGGGCACTGCAGACAAGGGCCCACCGAGCAGGTGGTGCCTCACCCTCCCCGGTCAGTCCGCTTCCGTGAACAGTGCACTCTGGAGTGAAAGTAGCCGCAGGACTTGTGGCCACTTCACAGTCCGGAGGCGAAGTTCACCTGCAGCCTCCCCACGGCCTGTCTCAAGTAGGGTGTCCTTGTGGAAGGCAGCTCGGGGCCCGACTGCGGGGAGAGTGGCCACTCCGCCCCGACTCCATCGGTGAAAGAGGTGTGCAATGACCGTCCGGTCCCTACGTGTGCATCTGCCTTCCTCAGTGGCCAAGCCTGGGAAAGCTGTCAGGATGAACATGTGATTCTTTCTTTTAAATGTCAAAATAAAGATTTCTGTATAGACTGCTATGTCATTTCCCTGGCATCCCTTCAGGACTGTTCGGTGTCTGTCCCACACTTGCGCCAAGTGGACGTGGTTAAGGACCAGATCAGGCTTAAGCCCTCGGTGACTGTACACTCGAATGCGTGCTCCACCTGTGTCTTGGGGCTGGCTGGATGAGACCTGTCTCTGCTGTTTCTAAATGTCAAAGGGCTGATCTTTCCGTGGTTTTGATGCTTTATTTATACAGTTTTGGTGAAGCACAGTAAGTCACATATAAAATGATTAAAGTTGTCACGTGTCTAACCTTGAAATTATAATGCATTTTCCAGTTCATTCTACCCTTTGGGAAATGCTGGGCTAAGCGTGGGCCCGCTGGGAAGGTGGGAAGGCCCCCCAATGGTGCTGTCAGGGCTCTGGAGCCAGGCTGGCCTGTGAACGCACCTGCCCTGCGACGACTGGGGACAAAGCAGTAGGGGTGCCCCTGATGGTAGCGGGGACAACTCAGGGAGCTGGCGAACTGTGATGGGTAATTAGGTAGGAGAGGCGTCCAGGGAAAGTGACATCTGAACTAGGCTTGAAGGGCGGGGAGGACTTAAAGGCTGGGGGCAGGAATGGTGAGAGAGCCCTGTGGCCCCGGGAGGGGGTGGCAGGAAACCTGGCACCACGGGGGCAAGCGTATGGCTGTGTGACTGGGTGGCAGGGCAGGGGCACCAGGAGTTGGGCTGTGGGGGCTGCCAGCGCCCTCTCTCCAGCTGTGCCCAGTTAAGTGGTAGTTCCTGCAGTAGGAACATTCCGTGCAACAGCCCAGCTCGGGGAGCGGAACCCTTGGTGGGTCCTCATCCTGGGGGACCACCTGATGAGTCAGTAGTACAGAAGTGGGTGTGCCTGGCATGGCATGGGCACCTCTGGGGGGTTCCCTAGAGCTACAGGAGGTCAGGATGGACCAAGGGCTGAAGGAGTTGGTCATCTACGCCCACACCTGCCCACCTCTGGGCTCTGACCACGTTTTCGAGAAGATGCAAAGAGTTCTACATGTGGGGTGAACTAGTTCTTTGCAAACTGGTTTTCCAAGTGTGGCCCTTAATTCTCTGAAGGAATGTTTGCTTGGCTGGAATCCCTCCTTCCCAGCTGCGTGGGGATTTGAGCACAACCTGTGTTCAAGCCTCCTGCCCCTTCACAGCTGGTAGAGGCTTCCTTTGCTCTCCTTGTTATCTGGCTCCCAAGGGAGCCAGTATCCCAAGGGATACTTGGCAGGTTATTTTTAATATTTTTATTACTTTGGAGTTCTGCCATGTATGTAAACATTAAACGTGAGTACACGAATACAGCGAGGCTACATGGGTAATTCTTTCCACCACTTGTTTGCTATTGGCCTAGATGTGAGCAGGTGCCATGCAGGTGTATCCCTTTGATTTCTTGTACTATGTGCTCCTGATGCATCAAGCTACATGTTTGTTTCTAGCTGCCAACATCCTCTCCTCAACCTCTCCTCAAGTCACAAAGATGGTGAACTTGACAGTGGAAGGGTTGAAGTTCCTGACCTGTGCTTTCATGGCCAACTTTTGACATAAGGAACTAGATGCCAGAGACGTCTGATTGTAAGGAAGAGGCCAGCACAGAGAAACTTGTCCGCTGTGCTGATGCAGTCACAGAAGCTTCAAAACACAACTGAGCAGGGGTGCCTGGGTGGCTCAGTCGGGTGCTGACAGCTGAGCCTGGAGCCTGATTCTGTGACTCCCTCTCTCTCTGCCCCTCCCCCACTCGTTCTGTCTCAAAAACAAATATTAAAAAAAATTCAAAACATAGTAGAGCTTCAGTGGTCCATCCAGTTAATCCCCGAGGGACAAAGGAGGCTTTGCTCCTCAGTCTTGAGCTAAACCAACCTCTCCATCCCCAGGATATTTCACACACCATCCACCCAAGCATCGTTCATACGACATGACTAACTTCTCCAGTGACACCGGCTAAACTGCCATTTCCCCAAACCCACACGAGCAAAGAAAATAGCTCATTGTGTTAGCACAACATTAACACACGAGTCACACGCCGTGCTGCTTCATAACCGGCAACAGTTCCGGCTCCCCCGGAAGAGGAATGCAAAGTTCTCTGTAGGCTACAAAGATGTTTATTTGTTTTCACGGAACTTAAGCGGCTCCTTTTGTCAGATACAAAATTAGGGCTGAGCAATGGCTTACATTTTTAAAATAGAGCATGTTTTATTCCCCTAGTTCCATAAAAACTGTTAAGTACGAGCAATCTGTACATCTTGCTGGTGAATTCACATAGTCCCTGACCCTCTGATTTCATCGTCTCCAGTGTCTCTGTTCTGTTGGGACCACCGGCCGGAGTGGAGTGGAGTGGAGTGGAGGTGGGGCTCACTCAGGAGAGAAGGCCGTGGCTATTTGGTTTGATGATTGGTTTTATTGCTTGCCCTGTCTTTCCCCTTCCTCCATGGAATCAAAGTTTCAGATTTCAGCTTTTAAACCTGAGGGACTGTCAGCTTTTCTTGCATAGGCATTGCTGGGGATCTGAAAGGTATGGAGACCGGCAGAGAAGGTGGTTGGGAGCACGAAGCCAACTGTGTAGACAGACCAGGCCACAGGAGGAATTGCCCACATTCCATGAGGCCTCTCACTGAGCCGTGTAGATGTCCTTGGAATTAGATCCCAGAAAGGCAGTTCCAACGTTAAATGGGTAAAACCTTTTGGCAAGGGGCTCATTGCTTTAAAAGGGGAGAAAAAAAGCCACTTTAAAGATGTTGCAAGTGGAGAATTTGTCCCACAGAGCTTCTTGGAAAAGAACTGAAATTACGGACATAGGTTGCTAAGGCCTAACCAGGGAACTGTCAGCAGCCAGGTGTAAAAAGATGGTCAGTTTATGGCATCTTGACTTCTCTGTCACACACGTAATCAGGCAAACAAACAAAACCTGGAACTCCCTCGACCACGGTGGCAGGGCAGAATTTGTTGAATTGGGTTCCTAGTGTGGACAGCGCTTTGTGTGGGCAGGGCCTGGAGGGTACGTTACGTGGATCCCACAGAAAGCAATTCTCTCTGGTTTGCCTGCCCCTATCTGCTTCGAGGACAAAAATCTCAATTTGGACCTGTGTGCCTGAGTTTCTGTTCTTAACTAATGTCCTTAACAGCAAATGGGAAGACCTCAGGTCAGGTCAAACACCCTTTACCGGGTAAAACTGGCTCAACGGAAAGTAATTACACATCCCCTCCCCCAGCTGGGGTGCATTATTTTGCATTATTTCCGCACTTGCCTCCCATTTACAGCAAATGCTACTAAGTTTCCTTTCTAGAGAGTGATACAAAATCTTTTCCTATAGAACATAATTTCAACTCAATTAAAAATGGGAATAGCAACACAATGTAAACATTGTGACCGCAGTTCTGGAATGTCTGAAGCTGGAGATCTAGATTGAGCAAAGATTGTCTGAGCTTTCTGCATGCGCAGTGTCCAAATTCACCCGTGGACCAGGCCCGGCAGAAGCCAAGTGATGCCATTAGGACTGGACAAAGTTTCTGTATTTTACCTAAACAAGGACAAATGGCCTAGTTTCACGAAATGAGAGAAAACCTGCCTGAGGTAGGCGATCACCCTGTCCAGATGTGAAGGTTGTTGAGGATCAATGAAACACACCAGAAATACTTGTGGGTTTTCTTCCCCCCGAAACAAGTATAACCAATGTCAAAGTGTTGATGCTAATTTAGATCCTGATTACCTACTGGGAAATCTTAAATTCTGCTTCATTAATTGTGGCCCTGGCAGCTGTTTTGCAGAATATTGCTTATTAAACCGCAGGCAGCCTGACAGCAGATATTGGAGAAAGGGGAGTTTTTAAAACCAGCTTAATGAATCACTGCCCTTTAAGAAGTGGAGCAGAGATGAATCCCTGGGGCTTCTCCAGACTAGAACCTCACCACCGATCTTCCAGAAGGAATGTTTTGTGGAGGTGACAACTCGATTTGTGATGTTTTGCTGACATTTTAGATTAGGTATACAAGCCCTGTGATAAACAGCATTTGCAACATGTGTGGAGCAAAATGATTACAATTATTAACAGAAACCCTGGATTTTGCTGGGAAAGGTAAAACTTATTCGTGAGAACATAGCAATTAGCTTCCTGTCCCCACCCGACCCCCAAAAAGCTATATCCTAAGACTAACCCCAAATTTCTATCTAAAAGAACTAGGTTTGCAGGCCCGCAACTGAAGAGTTCATCAAGGCTTTGCAGCTGGAGGTTTAAAAAATCCCACTTTGCGAAAATATCTGACGATGAAGGGCACGGAAACCAAGGTAATGCTGATTCTCACGGGTGCAAACAGCTTGTGGATGGCGTAGGCCACCACGAAGGTACTTGTGCCCGCCGCCATTTTTGACTGTACCAGTGACTCCTTAAATCCGAGTTTAAGCAGGACTGCAGACATGTCCACACCGCTGGGGGAAGAGGCAAAAAACGAGACAGAGAGAGAGAGAGAGAGAGAGATTATTACTGCAAGGGATTAGACAATCAATTTGCCTCTAAGATTTATGGTATTTAAAAAATTTGGGGCGCCTGGGTGGCT